ATATAAAATAATTAATATTTCAAAATTGTTTTGTTTTTATAAATTTTATAACGAAAAATATATTATTTTGAAAAATTTCAAATTTTGCAATAGGAAAATATAGTAGTTTTATAAATAAAAATGTCATTTTTTTTCACATATTTGAATAAAACAATAGAAATGGATAGAATCTGATAGATATAGATATAACATTTAATAGAATTTTCCATATTTTAAAATACTTCAAAAAAAAAAAATATATATTTTAAAAAATAAATTAATTAGATATTAAAATCATTTTTTGACATAAATTCTACAAAGAATAAATAAAGAGAAGAAATAGTGAAAAGAGGATAGATATAGGATAAAAATTCGAGAATCAGTTTTATTTCCAAAATATCACAAATGAAACACTAATATATAAAGAAAATAAATAGTGGAAAAAAGATAGGATAAGACCGTCATCGCTATCTTTTGAGCAATATCTCGGAAATATTTCTTCAAAAGCGGAATAAAATAGAATAACAAATTAGAATTCAAATCTTTGAAAAATTTTTAGAAACATGATTTTTAAAAAAAAAATGTTTTTGGCATTTAAGAGATGGCGATAATAATCAATTCTTATTCTTCGTATCTTTTTCATACTTACTTATGTAATCTTATATATTGAGTTTCATTTGCGGCATTCTAAAGATGGCGTTGGTTCTTGAATTTTTATTCTATCTCTATCTTTTTTTCTACTATTTCCTTTTTTTGTCTATATTTATGTGCATGATAATAAACGAGACACGGGATATCAATTGAACATTTTCATCATTTAAATTGTAATTTAATATATTAATCTTTAATATAAAATTCTTATTTCAGTTCACCTATTTCACAACATTTATACAAATATAATCATATATTTGTAAAATACAATACTTGCAATATATATGCTTACAATAATTCTGTAATGAAATATTTATTTCATTTTTTACTTTTATATCAAATTTTATCAAATATTAAATATCAAATATCAAATATCAAATATTATATCAAAATTTCGTTTCAATTTAATTATTATTAAGTTAAATTGCAATCTTATTTCGAATTAAATCGATATCATTGAGAATTAATTAAAATTAATGAATAAAAATCAAAAATATATAAATTTTTCTTTAAATTTAAAATTTATCAATAAATATATAATATTAATAATCAATTAACTTCAATTAATACTAATTTAACGTTATTTTATATTTTTTTGTTATATTTTTGAATTTATAATCAAATTAAATCAATAATCGAAACTTTCTTTCTAACGAATTAATGTGGAATAATTATCTTAGATAAATATTAAATTAACCATAAATTATGAGTGATCGTAATTACATTTGAAAAGAAAAATATATTCGATTCGAGAAAATAAATAAAAAAATTATGTAAAAATGTATGATAAAAATGTAAAATAATATTATTATAATTATATTTCATTTTGTTTCATAATATTTTAGATTGGAAATTGATTATCCAAATATCTAAAATTTTCAATTTTATAAGAAGTTGCATATAGTATGTATAAATAGTACGTATAAATACACATGTGTAATAAAATATAATGTTAATGATATATATAATAATTCTCTGATAACGCTCTTTATCTTCTCTTTATGTAAAAATATATGTTTTACTAAAGATTCCTTATTTAAAAATTGTCAAAAATTATAAAAAATAATTGATACTTGATATATATATAATTAAAAGCTTTGCTAAATTTATATTATTAAGATAAGCATTATTCTTCTTCTTTGCGATTGTTACTGTGGTAGTTGAAATCAATTCTCTTGAATATTTTATTAAAGCACCATCATTCTCCTGAAATCTATACCTAGTCACATTCGCGTCTATATTTGAAACTTTGCAAAGTAATATCTATTCTTTTAAATTAACCATTGAAATACGTCCACATCATCTCTTATGTTGTGACCTATAAACATTTCCTAAGGGAATATGTTAAAATCTATCGATCTTAAGTCGATCTACACTTTTGAAAGAAACATTGTTTTTCATTTAAGTTATTTCAAGTTAATATTTATAATGGATAGTTTTCGGAAATTTTTAACGTTTCGTCTAATTTATTATTATTTTATTTTTAATTAATTTATTTATACATTGAAATATATTTCTTATCAAAATCTAAGCAATTTTTTAATTCCGATAGAAATGATATAAACATTTTGAATATATTAATCACAGCCTTACATCACATTTTTAAATTAAAAAATTAATTTGAATCTTATACATATAAAATTTCCATTTTACGTCTTATATGTTAATATTAATTGTTTCTGCTTATAATTTTTTATACATATATATATATATTTATAAGATATAATTTTATGATATCATAAACATATTCTACATTCTATTTTGCATAGAAAATATGAAAATGAAAAGGAAAATAACGATAATGAAAAAGTATCGATTAGAAAATTGTAAAATATACGGATAATTCTAAAAGAAAAATTTTAGCAACAATTGGTAATGACAATAGATAGCGGTAAAACGGAAAGTGATGGTGAGTCACAACCTGACACACAGCACAGGGAGGGTAGCAGGTGCTACTACTGTTGTTGGTGCTGGTACTGTTGGTGCTGCTGGTGTTACCATTATTGCAGGGGTGACCAGCTGGATAGGCCAGCAGGGGAACGGATGTTCCCAGGAGATTATTGATCGTGTATGTAGATATTTCCACTTCAACTACGTAGACGACGATATGGAATTTTGCTCGAACAATCTATCGAACTTGTACTTTCCATTCTTTATATTCGTTCATCTAAAATGGATAAAATTCAATTTATATCCTCGCTCAAAAAGTTATAGTTACGTACAATTTCGAGAAAATAAAAAATCGAGATGGATTTTTCTTTTGGCAATGAATGCACGCACACGCGCGCGCGCGCAATATTGTAATAACGTAGAGCAAAATATAAGCTGTATCCAATTTTCAAAATGGGATGTAGAAATCTCATTTCGAATTCTATTTCTCGATAATATCGGAAAAATTGTAATTATTCTATGTATAATCTTTATAAAAATTACTTTGAGATGTATTACTAATTTAGGGAGAGAAAGAGAGAAAGAGAGAGAGAGAGTTAAAAAATATTCTTTTCAGCACTCGTTTTGAGCACAAAATGACCTACTACAACGTTCATTGCATTTATTTTTCAATTTAATAATTTATGATATATAAAACATGCCGATAATAGTAACAAATTTGCGAATAACGCAATATATAATATTTAAAATTCATTCATCGTACATCGCATGAATATTTTAAATTTTTTCAAAAAAAATTATTAAAAAATAAATTACAATTAAATGCAAAGTCCGTTTGATTCAACATTGTGAAAGTGATTATCCTTCTTAATGAATACTTATTTTAAATTTTTTTCTCGATATCGCGATTAGAGGGTTGGTCAACCATTGGATAACGCCCACACGATGATCCTATCCTGGGGTAAAATGGTTTCAAGATCTCGTGCAAATTTACGATGAAATTTTCGTTCTAACGATCCTAACAGACATCGACCAATAATAAGCAAGCTTGAGAAATTTTACACGCCATTCTGAACGTCGTCGAATAGCCGCGGTTCTTTCCCCTCTCTTTTACGCTGGGATATCGCAAGTGACGGTCACTGCCTTTCTGATTCGATCAATGAAAGTACCTGTACCAGAATGTTCAGGCTATGCGACCACCCCTATTGACAATAAACCGTATGAACACCTGATTTTTATTTCTTTTTTCAATACAAACTTCGGGATATTAATATTTTTCTTTCAATGAATCATAATCATTCTTTTGAATGCGATTCAAATGAAATAAATATATCAATTGTTTTGAGATTATTCGAAATTAATTTTATCCTATTTTTCTTACTCGAATCTCTCGAAATTTAGATAAAAAAATTATTTTTTCTGATAAATATTTTACGAAAAATAACGCGACGATATGAATTAACTACAAATTTGACTTTTCTTAGAATTCTTTAGAATTCGTTCCTAATAATAGAAAGAAGAAAAAAAGAAAAAAAATAATTATTCCATTCTAGATTCCCATGTTTCAATTTAACTTTACACAATTTTTAGACGATCCTTTATTATTTGCTACGAATGTTACATTTTCGATTAAATACTCGACCAATGAAAAATTTAGTAACATGATATATATTTTTACATATTTCGTAATATTACACATTATCTCTTTCGATTTTTTTCATGCATAAAAATTGTCTCAAAATTTATCCAATAGTACAAAATTGGATCCAATAGTACAAAATATATCTACAATATACAATATTTCACGAAAATATTCATTATCTTAATTGATTCGTTAACTCCGAAATTCATTTAATTCCGAAAATTCTGATTTTAATTTTCCTTTCTCACACTCACATATGCGCAGAGTAAAATTCTTCTTTTCCGAAGGAGGTAAAAATCTATTTTTAAAATTGTACAATAAATTTCTACCAACGAGGTGTATAAAAACGTGTTGAATAAAGTTCGTTGAATTTAAAGAAACGTGTTGGAAAAAAAAAAAAAAGAAAGAAGAACCATATATTATATTATACATATTACGAAAAATGATTTTCTATCTATCTTCTTTGTACATGTATGTATGTGAAAAATTGAACGTGTCAGTCAAAAAAGAAACAAAACAAAATTGGAAGGTAATCGAGGGCGAATTTCTGTTCTGTTCACCGTTAGTGAAACGAAAAGAAGAGAAGGAAAAAAAAAAAAAAAAAGAAAAAAAAAAAAAAAAAGAAAAGGTTTGCACGCAGGTTCGAACAGCGTGTACATACGGTCCACCTGCAAGAGGGAGTCCAACACCTGTCACGCACACAAACCACGGCCAATGGTTTACGGCAACCAGGTAGATTCAAAGTGGGGGGATTATCAGAGCTTTCGTTACCCCTTGGTACTAGTTTCATTCCAACGATCATGCGGTTTACATGTTTTTTATTATACACCGATGAAAATGTGCATACGTGATGTAACGAGTCGTAATCGTGTTCGCATTTTCAAGTATTTTTATTAACCGGCGTAAATGTTCAACCGAAAGTGAACCGATCTTTTATCTTTTACCTTCGGACGTGCCGATATTAAAGATGTTTTGAGGTGTGTGTTGTGATTCGTTCAATTTTTCAACCAAATTATTTTCCTCCGCCCCCCTTTCTCTGTCTCTCGATTTCGTTTAAATTTCACAATTTACCGTAATTGTTCTCAGTCACGATATTAGGAGACGGTAGAATTTCAATGCACCAAATTGCCTCTATCGATAGAATTCCTTAAAAAAAGAAAAAAAAAGAAGACAAAATTTCCGCTTCGTTCTATTCTAATGAAAAAAATGTCGATATTTATGATTCTTATTCGAACGATATTATAAAAAATGATTAATTCTATTTCCAAAAGTTATTTGGAACGCAATATCCTATCATTAATTGTTAATAATAATTTAATTACGAATATTCCATTTTCTTGCAAATGTATCTGTTAGATTTATCACTGGATTAAGAATAATGAAATTTTTACATAAATATTTATTCGATATACTTTTAATATTTACAATTGTAATTAATTGAATTTTTAATTACAAAACAACGTATATATCATATATCATGTATAGTACTTTTGATATTCGAGCGAATAATAAATATCTAATATCATAAAACAATTAGAAATTAAAAAAATTTATAACAAAACTCTAAATATTAGATCATTCAAAACTGCAATTAATTTTTGGAAAATCTATATAACAATATAGATAATCCATTTCATTGATGTCTATTATCGTATAGGTAAATATATGCATGCGATTACGATTTAGAATATAGGAATGCATTTTAATATGAATAAACGTTTGAACACCTTTTTCTATACGTAATAAGATAATTCAAGTATAATAATTTGTTGAAGATAACGTAATAATTTTCGTTGTTTTTATCTAGATACGTAGCATTGTTCGTTCGATACTTATGCGATGAAAAATGGTGAAAATGAAGGGAGAATCGATCGATGTTGAGAAACGAATGAATCGTGACTCACCGAGTATGAAGGAAAATATGCATAACGACGATTGCGATGTCGAAGCGGAATTGACCAGTCTTTCGTGGTTACAATCGCTCGACATTACGAGTGCTTCTAGTTTGCCAACGCCTCCTTGTTCTCCATCTCCACCACCAGTGACGCGACAACCAAGGAAAAAGCTTTCACCCTTGATTAAGGCCGAATTAGGTAAATCATTTCGTTCGAATCATTTTTTTCATTTTCTTTCGACTTTCGATTCTTCGATCATTAAAAAAAATATTAAACGCGTGAATGTTAAATATTTAGAATAATAGCGACTAAATATTCATCTAATAATGTTAAATGATATTAAGTTAATGCGCATAAAATCTTGTTTCTTTCGAATTCAAATTCGATAGTTAATTCAATCATATATATTTTTTAATGTTATAATTAATAAATTTCAAATCGTCGTTTCTTACTTCTTTATTGAATATCATGATCATATCACGATTAAAAACAAAATATATCAAATCTATTCATTCATATCAATTTAATATTCTTTCGATTATTATTCAGTAATTTATCTTTTTCTTCGTTATTAAAAATATATATATGTACATATATAAAAAAGAAAAATAATTTTTTTTATTCATTTATATATATATATCCATCCTTAGATCGTACATGTGTAAAAATATCCCATGTAAATGAACGTTTCGTTGCTTTTTGTTTAGATCTAGCTGCAAATGCCGACAAATATCGAACTGATCCTGACGCAAAACCGCCATTTTCATACGCCACCATCATTTGCCTGGCGATGCGTGCGAATAATAACAAAGTGTCTCTTTCAAACATATACGCATGGATTCGAGAAAATTTCTTATTTTACAAATATGCCGATCCTGCTTGGCAGGTGTGTATAAACATTTTCCATTACCTATTATTATTTGTAACGAGCCACTACAATATTTTTAAAATATTTTACGAACGAAATCTTCGTAATTTTTTCTTTTTTTCTTTTTTTTTTTACATCGATTAACTTTTTTTTTAACTCTTTCTTTTATTTCGAACAGAATTCAATTCGACACAACCTATCGTTGAATAAATGTTTCGTCAAATTACCACGTTCGAAAGATGAGCCAGGCAAAGGCGGTTTCTGGAAATTAGATTTGGAGAGAATGGAAGAAGGTAGAAAATCGAAACGGCGGGCAACCATGTCCCAACGAATTCGCGGATCGAAGAAATTAACATCTGGAAAAACAACGGTAACGAACGATGCACAAAGTAATAGTGCTCCATCGATCAATTGTCCCTCTACCTTGTACGAGACTCCGCCCAGTAGCGTATCTCCTCCGATTCCGGATTGTCTCTCAGAAATTCCTGACTCTACGCAAGTCAGTTTAAGCGAGGATGATCTAACCGGTTTGTTAATCGCTACCGCCGGTTGGGACGAGAATCAATTGGATCTCTTAGATTCCCTTCTCGACACCCTGTAAGAAGGTTTTCTGAACCTCTCCTATTTATGCAAATTCAAACACATTTACTTACGTTTAACTTCCTCGACTTCTCATTCACCCGGAACAAATTGTACGCAGCTCGGCCGATAAGTAAGTTATTTCTTCCTCTCTAACTTAACGCGCTCTGAAGATAACAACAGAAAAATTTTTCTTAAATAGCTACAACATAGATGTTGCAATGTTCGTTGTCGATATAGAGGAAATATTTCAATTGCATCCAAATCGATCCAAGATTCGATACGAGATTCTACGAGAGGAAAACAAATTATTCTTATCATTTTATCCCTCGGAATGCAAGATTAAAATAATATCGGGACGCAAAATTGTTTAAAGATTCCTTGAGAATTAATAATTCGAATGTAAATTTTTTTCTTAGTGATACATTTTTTTTCTATTATATTAGAAGGAGACAGGAAAGGGGAATAATTTACTTATTGACCGACTCACGTAAATTTCCAAAGCTTTTCCTCGATGTGAAACGAATTTAAATATATATATATATAATATATAAAAAACTGGAGCCAACTTTACAAAAATCTGTGTATTCAATGATTTACAATATTTGTAATCCAATAGAAATAATTTTTAATACATCATCTGGAAAAGTTTAGAGTAAATATCGTTGTGAAACATATCGATGGCTGACCGAAATAAAACTTCGCTACTGTGCATAGCATAACGTTGGGAAAATGATACAGCAAACCAGGGCACACAGGCAATGGAATAATTCGTTATTTTAATCGAACAATGCTGCGCGATCTTTCGGCCAATGTGTTTATTTTTCCGTGTTTATTTTTTAATCGATCGTTGGAATTATAGAGAATAATCAATTGGATTTCGAATTTTCTTGCTTAATAATTTTTCTAACTTTGTGCAAAATGAGTTAGATTTTTTTTTTTTTTTTGAATTTTGTTTGGCTTTTCATCTTTGTAACGATTGTCAAATTTATTTATCCTTATTTAGCCTAAAAAATTTCTATCTATTTTAGAAATACTTTATTCGTTACTTTACGAGTTATAGGAATATAAATCGTGTACACGAATCGAAATTGTATATTTAAATCATTAAATACACAGGATAACTGGTAATGCCCTTTTTCTGGATAAATAATCAAATTTTAGTCATAAAAGTTCAGTTTCGTTTTAATTTGATACCTAGACATTGCATTAATCAATTTCAATTTTTTTAAAAAATAGTATATGAAAAAATGAAGAAATCTATTATTTTCTCCAATTCATTTAAATTAACCATTTGCACGTTGATCGATAATAATATAATATTTCAGAGGAGAGCAGAAAAATTGAAAGAAGATTTTAATCGAAATGTATATAAAATATTTCAATTATTTTAAGTTAATTTAAAAAAAATGATATTTACTTATTCAGCAATAATTATTACTGTTGAAATATTTGTTAATACGGAGACATGATTTTTGCTTATTACTTGACTGAACATATTATATATGTATACATATATATATATATATATATATATATATATATATATATAAACAAAAATTTTAATAAATCGATAAGTTAATAATACTGTGTACTGAAAAGCAATTATAATATTTGTGACACAGTAATTTGCAGTGTGCCTTCGAAATAAAAAAAAAAAAAAATAAATATTTATGATATCGTACATTTGCCAACTCGATTAATTCGTGCAGAGTATATTTCGTATTCCTGCTTTAAAGTAATAAAATACAAAGTGCCTTATAAGTATTATCCGCAAAAAAAGTTATTATTACTTTAATTCTTGATATTATTCCGGAAAATTGTCATACGTTGCAGACAATAATAAAATACGATTCAATAAAATACGATGTCACTCTCCGACAATTTACAATTTATTTATCAATGTTTTGTGAATCGATGAAATAAGTAATGTTATAAACGTGAAATAATCAAAAGAAAGACAAATAATTGTTAAACATAATACAGTGAGAAATTATGTAACGACGAATAGATTCCAATAAATGATATGAAAAGGAAAAAAAAAAANAATAGATTCCAATAAATGATATGAAAAAAAAAAAAAAAAAGAAAAAAAAGATGTCGGAAAATTGTTTGCAATTTGTAATACTTTTCTGAGATGAGATCGTAATTGTGCAAGATTATATATATTTACATATGTATGTGTGTCGTCATAGAAGCCTAATATGTGAATTAATCGTTGACAAATTGAATTTTTTTTTTCCAAAAAGAAATTATACTCGCGACGTTGCGTACCGTAACGGCTATGATTTATAAATGAAAAATACGAATGAATTTTTTTAGCTTAAGTAAAAACGATTAATTGATATATTTGTTACGTAACGTAGATTAGAAGTTAATTTCCGTCCAGATATCGTTTGCAATATTTTATAAAATAATTGTACAATATGTCTCGTATCTTTATCTCATTCTTTTTGTCCTTAATTTATTAGAAAGAAAGGATATTATCGAGTAAGTAAGTATATATTATAGTATAGTGTTTATAAAAAAATATGCACGTGATTTTAATAATTATGCACCGAAACGATCGTAACTATTAAGAATCACTTTGTATGGATTGTAAGTGAAATGTAGGAATACACCAAAGAATAGTAAATACTTTGCATATGGATGTTTTATTGAAAACAACGAGTTATTGACGAAGATGCGAAACTTCCATTGTATAACTTATATATATATATATATATATATCGTGGATTTTAATATATTTTAATAATATTATTTGTAAATAAATTTTTTTTTTCCTGTTTTAAGTTTCTACATTCGAAATAGAGATACTACTTCTCCAAGGTACGTGTAATTTATCTTTATAACGGCACCTCGTTTTTCCACGCGAGCTCGAAATAAATTACTCAAATATACAAACATATTTGCAATTTGATATTTAATACTTTAAGTTTTATAAAATGAATTTAATCGATAATTGTGTTATGTAAACTTAAGTATATTGCATCAAATAAAAACATTCCCATAATACTTGTTTCCATACACAATATTCATTTATGAGATTAATGTAATGTATTTTCGAAGGGAAAAAATAACAATAGGATAACGATATGAATAATAATTTTTGTATCGAGTACTACACAGTTACCTGCATTATCTGTATCGACACAATCCTGATATTTTATTCTGTACTGTGTTTTTTGCATACAGGGAGAACGGATAAAATCAGAATGTAGAAATAAAATTTTAATATCAATAAAGTAGAAAAATCCGAAAATAAGTTTTTCAAGAAGAAAAAGTTTTACAATTTTAAATGGAAAGACGAGAAAGATAGAATTTGATTCTACGATTCTACAATTTATAATTAAATTGATTAAAATGCAAGAAAAATTATTAAAAAACTGTGGATACGATTATACTTGTATCATGGAAGGGATAGACATTTACGAAATCATCAAGTTATCAAAAAATGGGGAAGAAAGTTTTATTAGGTATAAAATATTTACACATTTGTTAGACCGAACAACCTGGAATTCCTATATTTTTCTATAAGAAATAAAGAAGAAACTTTACTCATCTTCGATTACCGATAGACTAGTTCTAATCGATTTATTAATTAACAAATATATAAGAGAGAAAAATTAAACTGGTCCTAATCCTCTGGTCGTTTATCTCAACATCACAGTCTCCTTTAAGAGTAACGGAAAGTTTCATACAAGAAATTTTATCGAGTAAAATCATTCGAAGCGAAACGAATATTATATAATCAATGGTGTTGCGCGTGTTTGTGTTTGTGGGATATCGAAAAAAAGATTGTGATGTTGGATTATCTACGCGTTCCGTAGTTCAAAATATATCACGCACAATTAAGTTGAAAAATAATTTCTAAATTACAACACGTTCCTAAGCGCAATTTTTGCGCTTGTAAAAATTACAATACCGTGAAAAAAGATTTTACGTACGTACGAAACGATCGTCATTCGTTTATTAAATACATATCCTGAAATCATGCGGCCGCAACTTATTTGACACTTTTCCTTCCTTTTCCTTTTTTTCTTTTTCTCGCATTTTTAATAGCAGCAAAAAACAGTTTTTTAGTTCTTTAGTGGAATAAGTGGAGCGCTCGCAAATTTCAAATCAGTCTTATTGAACAAATTTCAATGTAACCGATCAATATCCTTGAACAATTTGTGGATTAACAATAATATCACGCTCTTATCATTAAATACGATTAAGACGATTCATTGTTCCTTCGTATTTATTCTCTACTTTGTTTCACAATTAATATTCGACAATTAACGATTGATCAGTCCACTTGACATTGATTTTATTAACTACTTTACACGCTTATCCTATAGGTATTAAATAGCATATATACACGAGTATGCATGTATGTATGTATGTATGTATGTATCTTTCTCTGTATATGTGTGTACGTGTGTGCGTGTGCGTAGTAGATTTTCATCATGGTAGGACAAATGGTTAAAGAAATAACCATAAATTTCGTAACTAGACGCGCAGATTGATCACACGATCAAACGTAGTACTCGTTGATATTTAGCGCGTCGGAATCGCATCCCTATACGCAACTCTCTTGGGTCGATATCAAGGGTGTACGCACGGTGACAACCTCTCTGGTCGGATGTTTGCCACTCATGGTCGATACGTTACAGTCTTGGAACGTACTTCTCGTCGATAGTGGCGCCAATGTGAACGGCAAAGGAGGCGGCGAGGGATCGCCTTTTAACGACCTCGTATTGTGATCTATACAAGCGTAAATCGTCGTTTCTCTGGTGCACGGTTTTCCGTAACTCTCCAGGGTGCTTAAACTCCCGATTCCGCTTACGATACCCGTCAACTTGGTGTCGGTTGCCAAAGTCGACAATGCCGTTGGCCGTGACAGGCACAGTTCGGCGTACGTTACCTCGTTCGATAACTGAAAGAAAAAAAAAAAAAAAAAAAAAAAAAAAAAAAGAGTTAGTTCTCGGGTTATTTAAATACTTTTTAAATCTTTTCTAAATCGAAACTTACCGACAATGTTGGATAATTGTTATACTCTTGCGAATACGGTGACAATCCTTGCAGATGAGTCACTTGTTGTATAGAGAGCGAAGTCGATGGAAGTCTATCTGGCGTGCTCTGCGTAGCCAACGGAGTACCGGATATCGATCCCGTCAATTGATAATCTGAACCTTTAAATTTAACACCACCTTTTAAATACGAATCATTGTTATTATCATTATGATTTAAGCGTGTTATTCATATTTATATGTCTAGATAATAAATCTCTCTTGATCTCAAATCTCTAATCATCTATTCCATTGATTCCATCTCGAAACGAAAAATTAATCCGTAATTGGATATATTATTTATTTTTATCGATTCTTAGTGACAATTTTTTTAATCAACTTATACCTTTGTTTATGGGGACAACGTCCGGATTTCTGTCGTCGGTATCGTACAAATCCTCGGAACTAGGAACGGCACTCTTCTTTAACGGTAGATCGCTCGGTCTCTGAGCCCTCCTTTCGTTTCTTATCTTCATAGCTACGAGAGTAGCTACGGTAACGAAAAGTAACGCGGTCACTACACCGATCAGTCCTCCTAATAACGGAGTGATCTCAAACGGTACCGGTATACCTGTAACCAAACCAAAACACATCAATTCGTATAATTGCGATCGTGTATAAAGCGACACTCGAACGCTCGAAGGGGAAAAATATGGAGAAATTGGGGACGAGAGAACGCGTACGTTTCGTCTCGGGATTGCCAGCCAGACTCATCAGTAGGGCTACGACTGACAACCCCTGCCCTAGACGTTGACGGGAAATTGTCTGATCGAATTCGTTAAAAAAATTCGTTGGCAGAAGAGAGACGACGAGGAAGGAGAGACGAATTTCCTCTCATCGACGTCTCGTTGTCACCAATTCGTCGCGTCACGTCCGGATTCCGGGGAACACGGGTTCGAGAACTACGGGTTTCTCTTGCTCTTAATCCCTAACCGTTCACTCGAGATACGATGGTGCACGAAAAACACGTTTCGTCTCGGGATTGTCAGCCAGACTCATCAGTAGGGCTACGACTGACAAACCCTGCCCTAGACGTTGGGATCGTGTTCAGATTCAGCAACAAATTCAACGAAACCGACGATCGGACTCGGATTTTCGAGACAGAGAAAGAGAGAGAGAGAAAGAATACGACGAGGACGCGACGGATCGTTATTCATTATTATTACTCACCAGTCTGTTTCTCAGCGACCTTTAACGTGAATCCTTCCAACGAGGTCGGTTCGCTCCTCCCTTTTGCATTTACAGCGTACAAAACCATATTGAGAATTTTTCCAGCCTCTAAATCGCGAACGGTGAAAGCGGCATTCCTTTTCGACGTGATATTTGCTTGTAGTATTCCCGTTTGCTGGTCGAACACCTCGAGAAGAAAGTGTTGCGGTTGGCCACCGTCAAAACCAACGCAACACTCCACTGAGAGAGACTCAGTCGTTTGATTGGACAACGTGCAATTGTACAGAGACTCGGGTTTTCCTGCAAAATCGTTGTGTTACACTTTTTCACCACGGAACGCGTTGTTGTAATGTCGGCGCAACGTACCAGCTGGAATGATGTGAAACACGCATGCGTTATTCTGTTGGCCGGCGGTGTTACTCGCCCAACACGAGACCGTACCGTAATCCATCTCCGTCATCGGCCGATAAACAAGGATGCTCTGACTACGGCGCGTCGAGTTCTTGTACTTCGATTCGGACACGTCCACCATTTCTTCCGTGTTGTTGAACGTCCAACGAAAACTGTCCGGCGGTGGATACGCTTCAACGTTGCAACTTATACGGGCGTCTTCGTGACGCGCTACGCCGTAAATTCGTTTTTGATCCGGCAAGCATATAGGTTTGTCTGAACGAAATTGAAGAGAGATTTTTTTTTTTTTTTAAATCGTAGAAAATTAAATTCCGCTCTAGAGGTGATACTTACACATAATTTTAAGCTCGACGGTATTGCTGTAACCGTCTCCCTCGACGTTGCTAGCGATACAAGTGTAATTGCCTGCTTGAGAACGATTCACTTTCCTCAGAGCCAAGCTGTACTCCTGCACTATCACACCGTTCTTCGCATTGTTCTGAATAACGTTTCCCTGCAACAACGTATACACGAATCGTGTATCGATTCAATTCGCATCGATATCCATAAAAAAAAAGAAAAACTTATTCTATAAAATTTAAAACTTGTAATTTTTCAATTCGTACGTATGGTATCGTATCGCGGCTATAAATAATACGTTATAAGCGACTTAATTTTGTACCAGGAACACCCGCACGCAAATCTTGCTTCGATCGTACGCACACGATCGATCGAGCGGCACCAGGGAAGGTTTTTACATTTATCATCGTATCACAGTGTCGTAAACGTGTGTGTTAACCGTTAAACCTCGATTAATTTTCTTCCTCTTGCTTTCTTTTCAACCCATTCGCACCCATTCGAACCGAAGACAAAGCAATAATTCCTTGCTAACTCGTCGAGTTGCGTCTACGAATCGCGTCGCTATCCTTGCCATCCTCGTCATCCCTCCGCGTATCGATATCGACGAAAGCGTGTCTTTATCGATACGCTTATCAGACGTAGGCGCAGCTTTACGTTTCTCTCACGTTTGAGCTCGACGAACTGGCGACTTACTTGGCGACAACTTGGCTATCTCCAACTGTATTCATAACGGAAAAGAGTAAGATTGGGTTTCGAAAATTCGCTATCTCACCTTATCCTCCTATCTATTTAGGAGCCAGGCAGAATATTGCTGGTGCGTAGAAGTCTCGGTTTCTAACGTGCCAGATCTCAGGTCTCGACTCAGCATTCGGTCGTTAGCAAGGCATTTCTGTAATCGCTTCATCGTCGCGCCGCGGACCCAAGTCGCATTCAAATGTTATTCGAATAATCGCAAGCGGAATCGCATGCCGTGTTCTGGAAACGCCGTTAGGGATGGAGAAAGTCTGCACGTGGTTGACGAAAAAACCTTAACAGACACAGGGTCATCATGAATTCGTGGAAAAAAAGAAAAAGCCTGTTGAGAGGAGTGTGAGGCCAATCAGACAGACCCTCCAGCCGTGGATCAACCGTGGAAAATCGTCTTCGAATTTTTCTATCGTTCGTTCGTTCGTTCGTTCGTTCGTTCGTCTCGTTCGTTCGTCTCGTTCGAAACGAAAGCGAAATTGGAAAGAGAGAGAAAAGAAAAAAAAAAAACATCCGCAGCTGGAGGGTTGAAGCGGAAGAGAAGCGAAACGCGCGAACGCAGGAAGTTAGTCTAAAAAAAAAAAAAAAAAAAAGATAAAAAGAAGAAAGCAAAGAAGAAAGTATTTAAGCGAATGGATGATCGCATCCATCGTTGATACGAGTTTCTTAACATAATTTTCTGTGTGAAAATTTCGAATAATAAAACGAAATTGTTTCGTTATATTATTGTATCGATGTACACGCCCGAGCGGCGCGTAAAGTAAAGACACACATGTGCCATTGGAAACACAGAAAGCGATCGTTCGTGGCGAGGACGTACCCTTGAAAGTTTTTTTGTCAACAGTTCTCTTGTCACGCAACACGACATTGCGATACGGTATCGAACATTCCCTGTTGGCGTACAGTCGTTCCTAATGCAAGGTCAAATTGCTTATAAAACAATCTCGATCGTAATAGCGATTGTTGATCGTCGTTCAGAGATGCGTTTTGTCTCTTGTCGTTCGTTCCATTTCGAAAAAGCTTGTAAAACGAAGCTAATATCATTAATATGGATGGGATTTTGTTGGAAATTAATACAAAAAAAGATGCAACACAGCAGCGTCCAGGGAATTTAACGAGGAATAAACACGCACGCGCAAAAACAACGTTTCTGTACAAGATATGTATGTATGTATGATCGTTGCACACTTGATATATTATTATATTATTATATATACAATATATATCCGTCATATCAATTTTCTCGATCAAATTTTAAATCGCTCTCCTTTGTTTGCTATTTTCGTAACTCGGTAATGGACAGGTGAATTATATATATATATATATCGCTTACGTTATGTTTCCATATGACCTTGTAAGCATTAGGATTTGCATGGACCTTGCATTCGAAGTATACGTCATCGCCTTCTTCGATGTCGTCCGGATTCATATTCGATCCTAACTTGAGATGTAAAATTGGAACGACTGGAAAGAAATAAAAAAAAAAGTAATAGATAGTTAAAAAGGTAACGACGAATCAATTATCTATATGCTTGTATTTTATTGCTTTGAATAATTTGAGAATAATTTTTGTAGATCGTGTGTCGCATTTGTTAACGGATCCCTTCAAAAGAAGTTTTACTTACAAAACACGTTTAATTTCCACGTATCTTCCATTATACTTCGTTGAATCTTAGAGTTTTCCGCTCGACAAGTTATCGTTTTATCGTGATCGGATAAAGTTGGTTTCAGGATTAACGTGGAACTGGTCGTGTTTCCATCTTGAGACACCTTTAACGTAAAAATAAAAAAAAAAAAAACAAAAAAAAAATAAATATCAAGTTTTAAAAAGTTACTTTGGAATACACTTTCGGATAACGAGAGACTATTAAGTTTAAAAGAGAGAGGCTACTAATTACACCTTCGAGGAGTGTTACGTTACCTTACGTTAACTTGTAATTATTTAAATTAAACTTGAACTATTTAGATAGACTAATAAGGGATGCTTCAAAGGTAGCTTTCCTCGATCTCGAGTGAAATATGATATTACGCGCGAAATAAATGTAATTTTAGACAACAGACGATTAATCGTGCGCTTAAAAATTTAACAATTGCACCATTTATTCTATCCGATTTTGCGATCGAATTTTCTTTTCGATATAATTTTCTCTCGCGATCAATGTGCGACACTTCCGTAAAAATCGACGTTATTCACTCTCGTTGCCTTCTCGCAAAATTAAATTATTCGTGATTTGATCGATAAAATCTGATTCGATTCGTATTTTCGAGCATCGAGCATTTTGTTTCTGTTTCGTTGCATCGATCCTGCAAAGGTGTCCCACGTGTTTTTTAACCCCGTATATATATATTTCGACGAGTAGATTCGAACTTTATATTAAAAACGTTAGAATGGACAGGTTTTGTATTATTTTAAATCATTACATCAGTAATGATTTTTAATAAAAAAAAAAAAAAAAATAAAACAACGTACCTTCTCCGTGTGATTATTCAATTTCTTTCCATTCATGTACCAAGATAACTTAGCTGGTGGCCTCGATCCAACGGTTATACAATTTATATCATACTTTCGACCAGCGCTAAGAGGTGTATGCTCATTGCTCAATATCGTTACAGACATTGGCTTCACTGAAAAATAAGAAACATATAATCTGAAAGTAAATTTTAATCGTCTGTTGATAAATAAAAAAAGTATTCAAACGAATATTTTACATGTATATATAAGCGCGCGTGTGTGTGTGTGTGCTTACAGGGGTGTTAAGAAACAAGTGGGACACCTTTTGAGAATCGAATTCTTAGACGAGATGAATACGAAAATGTCGCTTATTTTTCAAATTACGAGCGATTTAATTTTGGCTTGTGGACAAGAACGTGGTGTCGCAAATATATTTGCCATTCCAGTTAATTAATGATTACTGCATTTCATATCAAAGAGTTAATTTTAACGTTATAATTACTGATTACACACTGATAATACACGCGCGTGTATCGATAATGTAAACATTCCCTAAAAATTTGCGCACACTTGAAAAGTGTTCCAAATACTTCTTAACACATTTATCGTGTAATTATTTCGAAATTTATTACAGCGAAGCAGCATTCTTTTATGCTTATGCATAAAACGTATTCGATTCCTTTTTTTTCTCGTTATTTTTAAATTTATTCAATACGATTTTTGACTCGATTAAAAAATCCATTTTTCGTATTTTCGTAATACGATATTCAATGTACGATGTTTTTAATCATCGTTAGTGTTAACAACGATATCACTTGGACGAAATATCAAATAGAGTTAAAACTAAACTTACGATGCATTTCAATGGTAACGGACGCTGAAACAGGTTGACTGATATTGTTGTTGGATGCTTGACAAATAAATACAGCATGAAGATCAGCTCTTGAAAGTTGTTTTACTATTAAAGTGTTTCTACGAAGGGATGGAAATTCTCCCGGTTCGTCCGTCGAGTCGAGAAGCATTTCTCCACGCCACCATTTTACTTTCGGTTCTGGCCGACCTGAAAAACGCGTACAAAAATATAAGTTTAAAATAACGTTTAAAACGATCTTACAATTTCTTACAATTTACGCGAATTATTCACACGCGCGTGTATCAACTCGAGATCGATTTGTAATTCTGAATGGATAATAATTTGAAGATGAAATCGATACTGTTCCAGATGCTTAATATTACACAAGATATACATATCGTGCGATATAGTTCGTGTTACGGTGCTTCGTAAGTGGATGTAATCGGAGATAAAAGAGATAACGTTACATACACGTATCTATAAACCCATTCGATAATTCGATTTAACAATTTCTTTACGTTGTTGCGTACATTTCCGCAACGATTATTGTATCTGTCCATTCCAGCTTTAGACGAAACCTTACGTGAAACTCGATTATCGATTATAAAACGAATCGCACGAGCGGATTTAAACTAAAAATGAGTTAGAGTTGATTAATAAATTAACGAATTAATTATTTGATTATTCTCGTAAAAAAAAAAAAAAAAAAAGAAGAAAAGAAACTTTGAAGCTCGAAGAAACTTTGGTAAAACTGATACGAGAAAACTCACCCCCTGACACGAGACACTGCAATTTCATATCCTCGTTCTCTTCGTACGGACCTGTTACCGTTTGCACAATCGTTCCATGCTCGTCGATGATATTCGGTTTATGCGGCGGTACTGAAATATATAGAAAAAAATAAAAAATACCAAGTAAGGTGATTGATTACATTTTTCTTCTGTTTTTTCCCCCACGAAAATTTCGATTTACCTCGCGTAAAAAGTAGCAGATCTAAACCTTTCCTTTTCCTTTCTTTCTTTTATAATACAAACCTATAACCGTCAGATGAATCCTGGAATTTCTGGTGGGGCTCTTGGCAAAATCTACTCGACACCTGTATTCACCCCCGTCCCTTTCTTCGATGTGATTGATGTTTAAAGTGGCCGGTTTGGTTACCGTTCTGAAGAAGGCACGATCGTTCAAATGATTCTTATCGTTCCAGTGCGAATCTTTTTCCGACTGTTTACCCCTCATATCGTAACTGCAACAATTTTTTTATCACGCGAGAATATAAATCGAAGAAAATGAATCAAGTTTATAAGACGAATGCGAAGAATTAAGAAACAAATAGGCAAACAATTTCCTTATTATCAATGCTCACCTGTATATAGGCGTGATATCGCTTTTATACCAAACGACTAATATCGCAGAATCATTTTGTCGAGGAGGACGAATGTCGCATGGCAGTTCCGCCGTACCTTGAAGAACCGCCCTCGCCGTCACGATCGGTCCTGCAACACCAAATATTATCGTCACGATCGATTTAATAATTTTAAACCTTTACCTCGGAGAGCAGACGAAGAAGGAGAGATCGAAATGGGAATACGGTGTAGGACAATTGTGTTTGTTCGATGATCGAGAATGTGGCTCCACGGATATACTATATATACTATATATATATATATATATATACATGGACGAAACAGTGGTTTACCGTTATTCTCGCTAAATATCAAGTTGCGCATTTATAGATGCAGAGGCATGTTACGTATAGGAGAAGATGGAAGGAAAATAGAGATAGGGGAGAGAGACAAAGGGAAAGAGAGAGATGGGGAAAGAAGATAGAGATTATGCAATTCTGAGTGTTTCTGTTTGTACGTGTTTATACAGTGAGGAGATGGTTCGGCTGCATTCCGACAGCTGCCGTTGTCTCCTGAGAATGCCAAATGGAATGTGAATTCTGTTGGTTAGGCTCGAGCCCGAGGAATACCGGTATCAATGCAAACTACTGCTCACTTCTACGCGAGCATCCAGATGCGTTCATCTGACATCGTCTTTCAACCTATTCTACGCTACTGTAATGTCTTCACCGATTATACCGATTTGCGATTGTATTTTAAAAGTCTGAAAATAATAATAATAATAATAATAATAATAATAATAATAATAATAATAATAATAATAACGATAAAATCGTAAATTTTATAAATCGAATCGATCGATATATACCTTTTCAAAACTTTTTTCTTTTCGTTCCTTATGATTTAATAATCGTTCCGCCCGTGGAATAATCAAATTTTTGATTATAAGAAGAAGAAGAAGAAGAAGAAGAAGAAGAAGAAGAAGAAGAAGAATTTTATTCTTAGCGATTGCTAACCTCACAACCCAATTAAATTACTTAGAAGCTTAATGCACTGTTGCCATTACGTGGTATAAGAGATGAAGAATGTTTGTATCACAGTTGGCCAAAATTAATTTACTATCGTGACGTATAATTAATCTGCGGCAGAAGGGGACACGCGCACGAGCAGCTTCCTTGCCTACTCGATTTCTACGTAATAACTTCTAATCCTCTCTTTCTCTCCCTCTTCAGTGTATCCTCGCGTTTCAGCTTCGTCACGGGTGAAAAGGCGCGAATGGAATGGAGGCGTGGAACTAAAAAAAAAAGAAAACTAAAGAAAGAATGTAAAAGGACGGAATTTTAAATTAAAACGATATTCGTGGAGAAATAGGAGGAGACGCGCGCGTTTCAAAGAAGATCGCCTCCGAGAGATACAAACGAAACGCGTCCTCTAACTTCTCTTTATTATTAACGAACGATATTTCCGTCCATTATTCTATATCGCTTCTGTCGCGAACAGCGGCTAAGAGGGGCACCATCACTCAACCAGGGCGCAGTCAAATTGTCCAACTTTGGCTTTTCCACTCGCGATCATCGAGTTATAAACTAGGTTGAGCGCCCGATCGAGTGCACTCCGAACAAAGATTCTAACAACAAACAATGATCTATCTATCTTCTAAAATTGATAATCTTCAGTGGTATGGAATATTCTCTCGACTTTGACTTTCTTCGTTACAAAAAGTTTGTACGCGTCTACGAATTTTCTCTCTCCCTCTCTCTCTCTCTAGAAGGAGGAATACAATTTATCGATTACTTTTTTACTTGTTCGAAGGGCCGAATGCTCGGTCGTAAAGTCGCTCATTCCGATAACAATGACGTATATAACTGACCGCACATCGTCGATATCGTGGTGGTAGTAATAGGTGAACGTACTATATACAACATATGTATCGTGTTGCAAAGCCACATGTACGGTCTTTCACGTGCTCGTGCAGGTGCGAGTAATAAGCCCAGCTGGACACATTCCGCAATCTCTCGTACAATCTCTTATCACCGACGTAAATTATCATACGATGTATCAGGGAACGTTCGATTTTTAAACCGATTCCAATAAGAGAGCGCGCTTTGGAACTTGCTTTTTAACGAGCGAATGCGATCTTAAAAAAAGGAAAAAAATGTCGCGTCGCGTGCAGTCGCCCTCTATACTCTGGACGAGGCGACGAGGCGACGACGAATCATCTATTTTTCTTCGTTCATCGGACGAAGAGGGACAAAGAGACGAATATCCACGTCGCTCGATCCGCTCCTCGGAGTAATAACGATAATAGTTGCGAGAAGTCGTAAATATCCAGAAGAAGAGTCGTAATCACGTTCGTAATAACCATTGTCGTTAAAATATTTCGATAAACATTTTGTTTAAACATTATGTTTAGATCGTGGATAATACAACTATCGATAAAAACCACTTCTTTGACCTCGTTCGTGCTCGTACGACATTACACCGAACACTTCCATCACCGTGTTTCATTGTCGGCCACAAATTTTTTATTTTCGTTTTACGTACCTATTAGGACTTTCTCCGTAAAAAACTACTTTTTACTACAACCGGATATATAAATACACTCGAATAAATTTTTCTTTTATCTCTTTGTTGGAACGAGAAGGAGAAGCGCGGGATAAAAGGATTATCAATGAGATGCATGGACGGGTTTTGAAGTATTCGATGTACTATACACGTAGGAGAACGAACTTAACAAAGTTTCATTTACCGAGAAATGGGAGGATTCGGAATGGCCGCGAGACGGGAGGGAGGAAGGAGTAACGGGGGAAAAAAAATATATCACGAGGAACGACGCAATAACCATATATAAATGCGGAAAATGTAATATCTACGCAAGAACAACAGAGCGTGTTAGCTCGGTATGTAAACTGTTAGCTGCACTAGAGTATACGCTAACAGAGACGACGAGAAGGTAATACGTATCTCGCACTCGTGCACCGTACAATCGTGCTACAAATACGCATACCACAACGAATTATGGGAAACACAACACGCAAAGTACATAATGACGAGCCTATATTAACGGATGAAACGATCGACAAACAGATCGGATGTCGTCGCTAATGGACAAAGTAAATAATTTTTTTTAAAAAGAAAGAAAAAAATCACGCGAAACGACCATAAGAATTAAATATATATATATATATATATATATATATATAATTTATTACGTGCGTATATATATATATTTATTTCTTTTCCACATGTTTCGTACGATCGTTTTTTTGAATTAATTTATTCTACGTCATATACGTCGGTCAATAGGAGTCCTTCACATTCTCGGGTTAAACGAACCGAAATGAGAAAAGTTTTCACAGCGCAATATGCGATGCATTCAACCATTTCCCCTTCTTACTTTTCTTTTGTACCGGTACTAATGTTCCGAAAGAGTACGGGAAATAATAAAAGGGATGAACCGAGATAGGATTTCTCGAGAAAATAATAGAAAGCAAAGATCCGACCGATGTTGTAAAAGTTAAATTATATTATTACCGAATCGAAAAAAGAAAAAGAAAAAAAAAACTTGGCTTCGAATATAATATCTTTTCACGACGTTCGATCGACGAATCGTGATCACCATCGATCGCAGTCCGTCGCGTCTACCAACTTTCCTATACTTTTTCTTGCGAACAATTAAATGCCTGTACTCTGGAAACGCGTTATCGTAATTACGCTTGTCCGATCGTTCGAACGTTGGAAAGAAATAAAGTCGTAAAGTTTTTTTAAAACGTCGTCGAAGATTCTCTGAGATATTACGCGTAAGAGAGTGGCGTTGAAAAGTGGCACAAGTGGAATATATACACGAAATAGGTGGTTTAAGCAATAAAAATATGCTTCTTTTAGTAGTACGAAATCGTTCATGCATTCTTTCTCTCTCTCTCTCTCTCTCTCTTTCTCTTTCTCTCTCTCCACCGATCCCATTTTAACCGCGTCTTTTCTTTTCTCTTTTATTCTTGACCCGCAATCTCTTACCCCAGTCCCTTTAAATTCCAGTTAATATTAGATGAGAGCTACCGGATTAAAAATGGGTATTCTTCGCGGCAACCCTCCTCCCCCAACTTTCCACCCAAGCGGTAACTGTGATATTTTTCTTCCCCTTTTTTCCCCCCCCCCACCCTCCCCTTTTCATTCTAACCAACGAATTTTCAAACTTTGTTTTTCCCATGCAAATGTCCTACTTTCATTTTGCTCGAATACCAATTTTCCAAAATCACCATCAAGCGATAACATTTTCATCGATCATTTCCGCATTTCTTCGCTGCTCTCCCTACTTTCTTCCCGACACTTCTCCATTCATCTTTCAAATTCTCCACCTTTATTTCAAAATTACGCGATGCAATTTTTTCCCCTTCTTTGAAAATTATTTCAAACACGGAATAAATTTGGAAAAGAATTTGGGGGGGAAAGAAAAAAAAACATTTGCCAGGAAGAAATTTAACGACGACGACGACGACAACGATAAACTTTTCGTGAAAATCGGATTACAGTTTTCTTTTTTTTTCCCCACAAAATCGCGAAACAGATGTAAACGGAAGAAGAAAGTGTCGTGTTCGAGCGAAAGTCGTAGTTGACGACAAAGTTGCGAGTCAGAATGAACGAACTCGCGATGAATAAGAATCGATCGAATTTCTGTTGATAAAGGTTGGTAACTTTAGCTCGAATAATAGTAACCGAGGGTAGGATGCGACTAACTCTCTCTCGCCTCTATCCTCGATTTTCCTTAACTGTCCGTCTCTTTCTCTTCCGCTGATTCGACCAGTAACTTCTGGACTAACCGGATTAACTAACCCCCTCCGACAACGGAAACGATTCTCTGTTCTCTCCGCCGTCGTAACTCGTTCATTTCGAGTTTATCCCCCGAGATGGCGTTATGATAAGAAACGTTCGTTTCATTGGATTCTCGGTTGTTGATGTTACTCGTTCCAACCACGAACGGACAACAAGCAAGTTACATACCGCGTCTTACGCGTCACTCTTCTCATCTTGATTCTTTTTCGCGATAACTTTTTCTCGAGAGAGAGAGAGAGAGAAAAAAGAAAAAGATGTTCTTACCTCGATATAATACGAAGGAGGAAGGGAGGGCGATGCGGTTATAGTTATGCGACGTT